GCCGACGCAGTACCTGAGAGCGCAGACGCACTAGTACCTGAGAGAGCAGTCTCACGAGCACCTGAGAGCACAGACGCACTGGCACCTAGAGCAGAAGCCTCACCGGCACCTGGAGCAGCAGTACCAATGCCCGGGTCGGGCGGGAAACACCGGTAACAGTCACCCTCCTCACTAATGGTCACAGCATACATGGCAGCAAGGATAGCATCAAAATCAAGATCAAAGATAGCTACACCAGCCCTAGACAGCTCTCCCCAGCGGGGGATCTCCGCGGCCTCCGGGAACTGCTGACGCCAAGCGTCTGTCAGGCGGCCAAAGCAGCGCTGGGCGGAGTGGGCACCCCCACACTGCTCTCCAGTGCGGTCGCCAGTGCGGAGAACGTAGGTGCAGGGACCAAAACCCCCACCGCGCTGACGCTGCGTGTACCACTCACGGAGCTGCTGAGGGGTGGGGACGTCGCGAGAACGCTGCTGCTGCTGCTGCTGGCGCTGACCGCCACCAGTGCCGCTCCGCTGCGAAGCTCCACTCTGACCACCTCCACCTCCACCACCCCCGCCTCCGCCTCCACCGCCCCCGCCTCCACCTCCACCGCCGCCACCTCCGCTACCACCGCCACCGCCGCCGCCACTCCCGCCTCCACTGCCGCCACTAGCACCCCCACCCCCGCTACCACCTCCACCGCCACCCCCACTCCCTCCGCCGCCTCCACCTCCACCGCCACCGCCCCCACTGGCCCCACCCGCTCCCTTGCCCCCCTTGCCCTTGCCAGAGCGGCGTCTCCCGCTAGGGGCAGACGCCGCAACCGACCGACTCAAGACCAACGAGGTCGGCCGCAGCGGCAGAGGCGACAGAGGGCAGGAGAGGGGAAGGAGAACACCCCTCAAAGATGGGGGCGCAGGGGTCACCTTGAGAGGCTCCTACAGCAACTATGCTCTTCTCTGCTGCAAGGAGGGCCTTCTCGAGGCTGTCGACTGTGAGGGTGGTGGGACAGACCGCGAGGAAGTGGTCCCGGACTACACGAAGGGAGTCAGGGAGGCGAGTGACTAAGAAGTAGAGAGTGATGTACATGGGGGGGGGGGGTTCTTGGCGCAGAAGTCAGCAGGAAGCGCAGCGCGGTAGCGAGTGTCACTAGTGCGGAGGTGCGTGATGAGATCAGGGACAGTGGGGAAGGCGGCAAGGTCAGGGAAGAGGAAGGGGAGCATGAGGCGGCTCAGTGCAGCAGTGGCAGGGGAGGAGTAGCGCGCAACTACAGCGTCGTACAAGGTCTGAGCACTCTTGTACTGGCTAAAGTGCGCGCGCTCAGCGGTAGGCAGGTGGCGACGCACAGCAAGACGTGCAGCAGCATCGCGCGTGGCCCACTGAGAGCGAACAGTGGCGTCAGCATCAGCAGCAGGGGCAGGGACGGCGCCAGAGGTGAGGTCAAAGAGAGACAGACCGTCGGCCCTGTCGCACTGTAAAAACAGCTGCAGGTCGTCGAGCCAGACCTCAAAGTCAATGGCTCGACCCTCAGCGTCAAAAGCGAGGACACTGGGTGTAGCCATGACGACGACAGTGGAGCAGTGCAAGCAGTAGGGGAAGGGTACGCAGTGACAGCAGTGCAATGCTCACCGGGCAGGGCAGGTCGGGCGGCTCGGGAGGAAGGTCGCCTGGCGAAACGACCGCTAGGCTGCTGGGCGGCTCGGCTCCCGGGCGGCTCGGCTGCTGCTGGGCGGCTCGGCTGCTGCTGGGCGGCTCGGCGGCTGCTGGGCGGCTCAGCGGCTCCGGGCGGCGCGGGTGCTGCTGGGCGGCTCGGCGGCTCCGGGCGGCTCGGCTGCTGCTGGGCGGCTCGGCTGCTGCTGGGCGGCTCGGCGGCTCCTGGGCGGCTCGGCTGCTCCAGGCGGCTCGGGTGCTGCAGGTGGGCGGCTCGGCTGCTGCAGTCGGGCGGCGCGAGAGCAAGGGGCGGCGGGGCCGTTAGTGCTGGGGCGGCGGGGCCGCGAGACCAGGGGCGGCGGGGCCGCGTAACAGGGGCGGCGGGGCCGGGAGCGCTGGGGCGGCGGGGCCGCGAGATCAGGGGCGGCGGGGCCGTGAGCGCTGGGGCGGCGGGGCCGTGTGATCAGGGACGGCGGGGCCGCGGGCGCTTGGGCGGCGGGGCCGCGTATCAGGAGCGGCGGGGCCAGGAGCGCTGGGGCAGCGGGGCCGTGTAACAGGGGCGGCGGGGCCGGGAGCGCTGGGGCGGCGGGGCCGCGAGATCAGGGGCGGCGGGGTCGTGAGCGCTGGGGCGGCGGGGCCGTGAGATCAGGGACGGCGGGGCCGCGGGCGCTGGGGCGGCGGGGCCGCGTATCAGGGGCGGCGGGGCCAGGAGCGTTGGGGCGGCGGGGCCGCGAGATCAGGGACGGCGGGGGCCGCGAGTGCTTGGGCGGCGGGGCCGCGTATCAGGGGCGGCGGGGCCGGGAGCGCTCGGGCGGCGGGGCCGCGAGATCAGGGACGGCGGGGGCCGCGGGCGCTTGGGCGGCGGGGCCGCGAGAGAAGAGGCGGCGGGGCCGCGTTCACTGGGTGGCGGGGCCGCGAGGGTAAGGCCGGCCGCTAGGGCGGCTCGGGGAAGGAGTGGCCCGAGGCGCGACTCGGGATGAGTGCGCTTCGGGCAGGAAAAAAAAAGATTTCGAGTGGTGGGCCCTAGGCACAGTTCCCACAGGGGAACCTGCTCTATACCATGTGGAAAACTGAACGAGAAAAGTGAATCAACTATGAATGAAGTGAGTACAAATATGAAACCCTAATTGGGTTGTACCCCCTATGGGATACCCCACTATAGCCTACACAAATAAGTAAGCTATAATGTTCTGACACAAGAGTCACTCAAAGTCAACGGTCGTGACTGTTGACCGACCGACAACCGTATTAGAAGTTACGCGATGCAACCAGATAACTGTCGAGAATGGCAATAGCCGCAGTTACTGTTGTTATGCAATACACTTGCAATAAGGAAATGTATCCTTCAGAGTGTACGGCTAGTTTGTTTTCTATTTAATCCTCTTGTAATTCTATATTAATCATCTTGTTATCTTTCAACTATTATTAACAAGGTCACTTGATGACTTCATTGTTTTCTTCACAACTGAGCGCCCTTATCATATCCACTTCAATCCTTCAGTTATAACAGCATACACCACCAACATAGAAATACTACCGTACAGTGATATGATACTAAGTGTGCATGCAGTTATATAAGAATGTATATTTCAATAGTTGCACATATCAACATTTTGTTCATCCACGTCAGTTGCACTCGTACATGTTGATGCTGTACTATATTGTTCGATCATACCATCCGTCATATTATGTCTTCAACATAGAATGTTTGTTATTGTTTTCACGTTTTGATGTACGTAATTCTTGCAAATGTTTTTTTTTGCCTTCTCTTGAAATATTTGCTCCAAAAATGCTTTGAAAAACACTCTTTAATGATATTCCCAAATAGTGAAACCGGTTATATAGGGTTGCTATGCACCTAAAAAAAGTGCATTTATTGTAGGATGTGGTCTATGATGTGGCCTAATTGTTTTATCCAGATTGTGTAAAATAGATGAATTGTATGCTACTTAGCGGTTTGTGCCCTGTCAGACTTGCCAGAACACCCATGTTCATCTGAACCAGTCCATCTCTGCCCGACAGGTGGCGCCGCGCTGTCTGACCCAGGTCAATCGCGTGCGACACACCTGACTGACATCCCCGCCGTATGCGAAGAGGGCGCGAGGCTTTAGCTCGACTCGGCGACAACGCGTGTGACGCTGAGCCCAACCTCGCCGATTGGCCGAGGCCCCCTGCGACAAAGCCCGCTGCGCACATTCCCGCCGTGATGACCGAGACTATTCGCGCGCCTCGGCTGGAAATTGGAATTGAGACAGACAGCAGTACCCGCCCACCAACCTAGCCACCGGAACTGCGTGCATTTCAGGCAGAGAGTGAGGGCAGAGAGGGGTGGAGCGGAGTGGAGATAGGCAGGCGGGGAGGAGAGTTTCTAAGAAGCCCGCCGATGAAATTCTATCAATCCCATGGCGAGAAAGCTAAATGCGCAACACATTCACTCTGGCCAGCTCCTGCCACGTCAACCACCTGTGGGCTTGCTGTCCCTTATCTGCCGGTGTTCTCAGCGCTCTCCCCAAGCCTTAGCGCAGCGCAGAGGATGTAATGTGTCGCTTAGGGTGACTGCAGTCACCGACACAGCTGCAGTCACAGCGACGGCGCGAGCAGATCTTAGGTATTGTACGACCTCTCGTGGCAATTGCCTAGCTCTCGTAGGGGATGCTAGCATTGCTGTGCGATTTCCTCTCGTTCCGTTCTTCTCTCTCCATTCATCGCCACAGCGCTCGTCCTATGCTTTTCCTCGCTCGCCCAAATACGCTCGTCTCTCTTAGCCCGCCTACATCCTGCCATCATCGCAGGCAGCCCGTCTAGCCCGAGAGAATAACGTGTGACTCCGTCCCCTGCGGCTCTAAGAACCGCACGCTCTTGCAGAACCTAATTGGTGTTTGTATGTACTGAAGCAGGCACTGCCAGTGGGTCGAGTAGAAGGTGCACAACCGAACATTTGACTCGTAACTAGTCGCATTGACGAAGACACCCACGTTGCCTTTCACGCGCTATTCTTTAGTAATAGCTTCGAGCCCGCGGTGCTGATAGAGATTACCCGCGGTACCCAAATGACTTGGGCCGTCGCGGCTCGATGACGAGCTGAAGGGTTTCAAGGCGCCTCAATACCAGAGTGCGGAGGGAGATTATATTTTGCGGCAGCCGACACCTCCATTTCCCAACCACACCATGCAACTGAACAGACACCGTGGTGTCGATCGCAGAAGTGTGTGACTCGAGGCCTCGCTGCCGCACCAGAAGTAGGAGACAATATACGGATGCTTTGTGAAACTGCCCGTTTGCCATATTGGAAGCTCTAGAAAATTCACCGGCGGGACGCAAGCTAGCCGTTGGGAAAGGTTTTTGCAGCGTTGTGACAACAGGCAGGGACGATGCTACAGGGTGACTGTATCGAGCGGCAGCCGGACCACATCGTGGTGGCGGTGACTCTATCGGAGGAAGGCAGAGGGCTCATCCAATGGACGATCAGCCGATGCCAGCCGGGTGACGTCATCTACGTCCTCCACGTCATCGTGCCGCCCACCGACGGTAGGTGCCCCTTACAACATAGCAGTGCAACCATAATATGTGCCACTAACGTATGGCAAAACACCCGCGCTCGTGCCTTTCGACCGTTCCGCGCGCTGCGCACATCTGCTACCGTTAATTGTGCTTCCTTCATGACTGCCTACCTGCTTCTGAATTCGTCGTTTTTGCTTGTAGGTGTACATATTACCGCCCGCCCAATTGCACAGACTCTCGACGGCGCGATCAATCTGAGCGCACCGCCCTGACTTGGGCGGAAACCCTTCATTTGCCAGCCGTCTCTCCGCATCTCATTTCTGACTCGCACTTTCTCTTTTCCCCGCTTCCTCCCGCTCCCCTTCCCCTTTTCCTCGCCTCCCCTGCCGGCGCATTCCGCCAGGCGCGCGCCCGCCGCGGTTGGAGGAGATGCGCGAGGACCAGCGGCGGAAGCTGGAGATCTTCTCCGCGCTGCTGTGGGGCTTCGAGGCGCTCTGCGACGAGAAGAAGGTGCGTACGCGTTATAGCGTATTCCGAGACTGCACTGCAAAAACGAGCGGTATCAGTGCGCGGCGCGTGGGAGCAGCAAGCGATTCTATTCCTCACAATGTCCCCTCCCCTTCCCGTCCCCTTCCCCCTCACCTTCCCGTCCCCCTCCCCCTCCCATTCCTCGTCCCTCTCTCCCTCCCCTTCCTTGTCCCTCTCCCCCTCCCCTTCATTGTCCCCCTTCCCCCTCCCATTCCCGTCCCCCTCTCCCTCCCCTTCTCCTCCCCCTCCACTTCCCCTGCCGTCCCCGCCCTCAAAGGTGGCGGCGTCGGTGCGCGTGGTGCACGGCGCGTGCGAGGAGCAGGCGGTGGCGGACGAGGCGAGACTGCTGGGGGCGACGCGGGTCGTCGTGCACAAGGACGGGTGAGTGAACGAAGAGTGTGCGAGGAAGGAAAGGGTGGGGGTGCGCGGCGGAGGAAAGGACGAGGGAGGAGAGGAGCGTTGGGGGTGCCATCTCCCTCTCACTCGAGAGCACTTTTGTTTTGAGGCGTTGCTTTTGCTGCTCTCAATTACCGCTACCACTGCCACCCGCCGCTTCGCCCCTCGCCCCTCACCGCTCCACTAACGTCCGCTCTCCCCAATCCCTTTTCCCCCCTGCCCATCCGCCCCTCTCCCTGCTTCCTTACCGTGCGCGCGCTCGCGCTCCGCTTTCCGCCCTCCCCGTGGTCTTCGCAGCATGGGGCGGCGCTTCTCCCCGCGCGCGCTGGAGCAGCGCCTTCCGCCCGCCTGTATGGTGCTCTTTGTCGGCGGTGGACGCCTCGCGCTCGCGAAGCGCGGGAAGGGCGGAGTGGGCGCGGCGGTGGGCGCGGCGGAGGGGAAGAGCGCGGGGAACAGAGCAGCAGGTGAGTACACGGGCAGACTGGTGCATGCGGCTTTCGCCCTCACCGCCGCTCAACTCCTGTCTCTCTCACCGCCGCTCAACTCCTGTCTCTCTCACCGCCGCTCAACTCCTGTCTCTCTCACCGCCGCTCAACTCCTGTCTCTCTCACCGCCGCTCAACTCCTGTCTCTCTCACCGCCGCTCAACTCCTGTCTCTCTCACCGCCGCTCAACTCCTGTCTCTCTCACCACCGCTCAACTCCTGTCTCTCTCACCGCCGCTCAACTCCTGTCTCTCTCACCGCCGCTCAACTCCTGTCTCTCTCACCGCCGCTCAACTCCTGTCTCTCTCACCGCCGCTCAACTCCTGTCTCTCTCACCGCCGCTCAACTCCTGTCTCTCTCACCGCCGCTCAACTCCTGTCTCTCTCACCGCCGCTCAACTCCTGTCTCTCTCACCGCCGCTCAACTCCTGTCTCTCTCACCGCCGCTCAACTCCTGTCTCTCTCACCGCCGCTCAACTCCTGTCTCTCTCACCGCCGCTCAACTCCTGTCTCTCTCACCGCCGCTCAACTCCTGTCTCTCTCACCGCCGCTCAACTCCTGTCTCTCTCACCGCCGCTCAACTCCTGTCTCTCTCACCGCCGCTCAACTCCTGTCTCTCTCACCGCCGCTCAACTCCTGTCTCTCTCACCGCCGCTCAACTCCTGTCTCTCTCACCGCCGCTCAACTCCTGTCTCTCTCACCGCCGCTCAACTCCTGTCTCTCTCACCGCCGCTCAACTCCTGTCTCTCTCACCAATTCTTTCTCAATTCTCAACTTTCGCTTCTCGTTTCCTCCTCTCACCTGCTTCACACTCCCTCTCATTTTCTCTCTCAATTCCCCCCTCGTGCCCTCAATTTTCATGTGCGCCGGAAGCAGCGGGTGACGCCACGCCCAACGGGCATCGCCCGCTCTACATCCCGCTTATGCGCCTCTTCGGTAGTAGTAGCAAGGACCGGGACGGGTACAGGGACGAGGGAGTCGCTGCCAAGGGCGGTGCCGGTGAGAAGGCGAAGGTCGGCGCGAGGGAGAGCGTGCGGGAGAGGGAGAGGGAGCAGGGAAGGGAGAGGGAGGTGAAGGCGGCAGGCGCTACCTCCTCGTCTTCTGCTCGCTCCTCCAAGCCACACCACGGCGGCAATAGCGGCAGCAGCAGAAGTGCGAGCGGTGCAGGAGCGTCGCCGCACCCCACGGCACGCAGTGCCATGCATGCGAGCAGCATGAGCCAGGGGCCATCCATGATGGGCAGCGGCATCAGCCGCAGCGGACCCCTCTCGTACCACCATGCTGCAGCGAGCGGTGCTGGGAGCATGAGCGGCCCGCACGACCGATCAGCACCAGTGGCGGCACATGCAGCAGCGGCGGGGGGGAGTGGGGGAGCGCGCAGGTTGGCGCAGCTGCTGCGGTCCAACTCGCTGACGAGCCTGCGCCAGCACCCCGCCTCGCATAACGCCAAGCCGTCCATTGCTCAGCGCGCACTCTCGCTGCTGCAGGGCGACGTCTCCTGTAAAACCTCCCTCCCCGCTTTCTCTTCCCTCCCTACCTCTCCTGCCTTGTTCTCTCTTCCCTCCCTACCTCTCCTGCCTTGTTCTCTCTTCCCTCCCTACCTCTCCTGCCTTGTTCTCTCTTCCTCTCTCCCCTCTCCTCATATGTCGTCTCCCCTCGACCCCATTTTCTAAAACACCCCCCACATTCGCCCTCTTCCATTGTCACAAACCCCCCACTTCCGCATTCGACCACCTCCCCTGTCGCTCTCCTGGTCTCTCTTCTCCTCACCTCCCCTCCCCTCCCCTCTCCCTTCCCCTCCCCTCGCCTCTCTCCCCCTTCCCAGTCCCCCGCAGGCCATTCGCGCCGGGCAAGGCGCGCAGCGTCTGCAACTCCCCGCGCGCCTCCTCCCCCCACGCGTCCTTCTTCTCCTCCTCCTTCTCCGCCTCCCGCCCCTCCTCCCCCCGCGCATCCCGCCCGTCCTCCCCCCGCTCCTCCGCCTTCAATTCGTTCTTCCCCTCCTCCCCGCGCTCCTCCCGCCCCTCCTCCCCACGCGCCAGCGCAGGCAACCCGCAGTTCTCCCCCTTTGTCTCCCCGCGCGCCACTGCAGCGAATCCCTTCTTCCCCCCCTCCTTCGACCCGTCGTCCCGCGCTGCCGCTACCGACGGCAGGTTGGGGCAGCGACAGCAGGGGCAGCAGCAAGGTGGGGGGCAGCAGCGGCAACGGCAGGGGCAGCAGCAGGAGCAAGGGGGTAGCAGAAGCGCGGAGCACATGCCAAAGTGGCAGCTGCTGCGGTCGTCCATCACAGGCAAACAACAGCCTCAGCAGCAGATGCAGCAGCAGCAGGGGCAGCAGGCGCAGCAGCAGGCGCAACAGCAGCAGCAGCAGCAGCAGCATTTGAGAGACGGGTCACGTTCGTTTGAGTCACAGTCGGCCGCAGTCACGCCCAGGCACATGCGCGTGCAGCGGTCAGCGTCGTTTGCGGGCGTGAGCGCCGTGGCGGCGACCCTGGCGCAGCAGCTGGGGTGGGAGCACGAGGCGGAGGCGGCGGAGGAGGAGGAGGAGCGCAAGGCGCGCGAGCAGGTGCGCAGGGGACGCGAGGTGGCGCAAGGGGAGGAGGGGCGGCGGGGCGAGGGACAGCAGAGTGCGCAGAGCGAACTGAACGCGCGACTGGTGAGGCTGCAGCAGCAGCAGCAGCAGATGGAGCAGGGTGGGAGAGGGATGAGAGGAGGGGAAGGGAAGGTGAGCTTCTATGTGGGTCAAGGGCAACAGGAGGAAGCGATGGCAAGAGCTGATATAGCCAGCGCTGCTCGCGATGCTGCCATTGCTGACCGCACTGAAGGCGTTGACTGCATTGACTGGGCCAACCGCTGTGACGTGGAAACTGCGTCCTCCTCTTCCTCTTCCTCTGACGATTCGTCTGAGCGCGGGGATGCCAATAACGCGGATGGGCTGGATGATGCGATACAGGGTACAGTGCACCACTGTAGCTTCCCGTCTATGGACGCGTCAGATGCCGCCCAGCCTGTCCTGGAGTCGTTCTGCTCTGACATCTCTGCCACGTCAGCTGCCACGTCATCCTCCGCGTTTTCGTCTCGTTCAGGAACGTCCTCGCATTGGACGGACATCCCCAGCAGCGGCTCCCTCTCAACCCCAGCCTGCCACGTGTCACAGCAATGCCACCCTGGCAGCAAAGCCAACAACAACAGCAGCAGCATCAGAAAGAGCAGAGGCAGCGGCTATCTCTCAGATTCGGCCCTGATTCCCAGAACACCTGGTGCTAAGCTAGCAGCACCTGAAAAATCACCTGAAGCAGCACCTGAAACACCTGGAACAGCAGGAGTCAGAGAATCAAGGTTGAATGCGGCACGTTCACAAGGGAGGGAGAACTTAGGCGGGCGCAGAGCAGCCTTGGAACCTGTTTGTGGTAACCAGATGCGTGCCGCAGGGCGAGGAGGGGAGGAGGCGAGGGGTGAAGGGAACTCAGGGCAGGAGAATCAAGGGCACGAGAGAAAGGGGCAGGATGGGAAGGGGCATGGGTTGGTGGGGGAGGCAGTGGCGCGGGAGAGGGCGGAGGCAGGGGAGGGTAAGGAGGACGCCAGGTGTCCTGTTCTGGTTGGCCGGTTCCCCGTGCACAGGCCACGGCAGAGGGCGGGCGTGGGCGGCACAATGGGCGGCTCAGTGGGCGGGTGGAGTGGCGGGTCGGGGCGGCGACTCTCGGTGCTGAATAAGACGAGGGACCCCCAGAGCGTGAGGCGCATAGCGTCTGAGAGTGACAGGGATAGGGCGAGGGATTTCGGGAGAGTGAGGAGAGAAGGGAGTGGGATTGGGAGTGAGAGGGGCATGTGTGCGCCTGATGCGTGTTTGTTAGCTGATGGTGGGAGTGAGGATGGTGTGAGCGAGAGGGAGGGCGGTGAGAGTGCGAGGGACAGGGAGTGGGGGTTTGTGGTGCGAGCAGCAGGAGTGGGGGAGACGGGCAGGGAGAGGGAGGATGCAGGGGAGAGTGCTGAAGAGGTGAGTGCGGACGGGGAGGATGAGGAGGAGACCGAGAGGGAAGATGGAAGGGAGGCAGATGCGGGAGAAGAAGTGAGTGAGAGGAGGAGTAGCGAGGCGAGGAGTGAAGGGAGAGAAGTGCGGGAGACGAGCAGCGGGGAGGGAGAGGGAGGGAGGCAGGCAGAAGGTAGCAGGGAGGTGGAGAGCGGTGCAGAGGGAGGGGTGGACCCACTGCCGTGTGTACGACAGCAGTCGCTGCCTGTGAGCCGCAGCTGCAGCTCGCTGCTGCCCTCCAGGCGCTACTTCTCCGACGGCGGCGAGCAGGCGCGCAGGGACGGCAGGAGGGACGTGCCTGCCATGCCACAGAGAGCAGCATTAGGAGCGGACGCGGGGTTGCATGGAGGGGACGGGTGGAGTGGTGCAGGACTGGGCAGGAGTAGCAGTGGTGGCGGCGGTGGCGTTGCTGCACGTGCAGCCCTGGCGTCACCGTCCCCTGGCGTGCGGCGGAGCAACTCGTTCACTCAGGGAGCCAGGCTCACAACTGCAGGGGCAGCGGCAGCACAGGCGGCAGCAGGGGTGGAAGCAGTGGGGGCGGTGGGCGCGGGTGGGGCGGGAGCGTGGGAGGGGCCGTGGCGGAAGCTGCAGTGGTGCCAGGTGGAGCAGGCGACTGATGGGTTCGCCACGAGTGAGTGCCGCGGCGGGGAGGGGAGGGAAGGGAGAGGGTGATTTGGTGATGGTGTGATGTTTGCGACTGTGTGTGGGGGAGGGGACGTCATGTGTGTGTGTGGGGGGGGTTGTGGGAGGGGTGGGGTTTCATGTGTGTGCGTGTGTGCACGCGCGCACGTGCGTTTATGTGTGAGTGCGTGTATGCGTGTGTGTGTGTGCGTGTGTGTGCGTGCGTGTGTGTGCGTGCGTGTGTGTGCGTGCGTGTGTGTGCGTGTGCATGTGTGTGTGTGTGCGTGCGTGTGTGTGCGTGCGTGTGTGTGCGTGTGCATGTGTGTGTGTGTGCGTGTGCATGTGTGTGTGTGTGCGTGTGCATGTGTGTGCATGTGCGTGTGTGTGCGTGTGCATGTGTGTGCATGTGCGTGTGTGTGCGTGTGCATGTGTGTGCATGTGCGTGTGTGTGTACATGCGTCCGGGGCAGTGGGAAGGGAGGGCGCGCATGAGTGCACGCATGATGTCATGTCATGTCAGTCTGTTTGAGTCATTCCTGGTCACGAGTGCACAAGGAGAATATGCTTCCCGAACCACACCGATCCCTCAAAATCCCTCACAACCCATCCGCCCCTCCTTTCCCCATCAACCATTTGCTCAGGGAACCTTCTGGGAACGTGCGGGGGCTACAGCCGGGTGTATCAAGGGCGGCTGCCCGGCGGGCAGCAGATAGCTGTGAGGCGCGAGATGCTCTCCTGCGCCACCACTGCTGATGGTGGTGATGCTGGTTGCGGTGGTGCTGGTGGGGTTATTGCTGCTTATGGTGCCAGGCAAGGGGGGAGACCACGTGGCGGTGTGCCATTGGCTGTGGAACGCGGGCTGAGCAGCGAGGTGGCGGCTGAGCTGGCGGTGCTGGCGACGCTGAGTCACCGCCACGTGGCACAGCTGGTGGGGGTGTGTGCGGAGAGGAGGGACGAGGTGGCACTGGTGTTTGAGCACATGGAAGGGGGCACCCTTGAGTCTGCGCTGAGAGGGAACTCCGGTTCTGCTGCGGCTGCGGCTGCGGCTGGTAACCCTGGTACGCACTACTGGTGTTTGATGCATGGAGGAGGGATTTTTGTAGACTGCTCTCAGAGGGGGATTCCGATTCTTCTACTAGTAACCCTGGTATGCACTGCTGCTGTTTGAGCTCATGCTCACATGTATTCGCCTCTGCTCTTTGTGCTTCAGTGCCTTCTCCATTCATGCTGCCTCTCTGTGTTGGTATGCTGGTAACGCCAATGCGATCCGTTTAAAGCCCACCCTCCACCCTCTCCTTCCCTTTCCTCTTTTCCACCGGTTCCCCCTTTCCCCCCTACCTGCTCCTCTTCCCCACTCGTGCCTTGGGCCTCCAATCAACCCCCTCTTCCCCGCAATCCTCTCTCAGGCTCTCTCCCGTGGACTGTGCGGCCAATAGGAGCACGCCAGCTGGCACTGGCACTGCACTACCTGCACGAGGGGGCGCCCAGGGCAGTGGTGCATCGGAACGTGCGGGCGGCGAGTGTGATGCTAACGAGGGGCGGCGAGGTGAAGGTGAGTGCTCTTTCATCATTTCTCTCGCTTCCGTCACAATCAGCAGCAGCACTCCACCTTCCCTTGTTTCTTCCGCCTCTCATTCGCCCACCTTTTCAACCGCCCCTCTTCCCAGTCTTGGCCATACAGTCCACTCCACCAGCCCTCAAAGTCCACGTTGCCTCCCGTTGCTCCACTCCTTTTCAAAGCGCACCTCACTCCTCCTCTTCCTCACCATCCTCTCCCCATCCCTATCCCGTTTCCCCTCGCCCCTCGCCCCTCGCCCCACTTGCCCTTCGTGCCTCACCAGCTATCGGAGTTCGGGTTGGCTCTCTTCGCTGCTAACAACGATGCGCCCATGCAAGTGCCGCTTGCTGGCACGTTCGGGTGAGTGAAATACAATAAACTTGAGTGGGCGAGGTCTGTGCAGACCCCCACCCCCCCACTCTTCCCATCCCCACATACCTAGCGCCCGAGTACCTGGCCAAAAGGGCAGTGAGCACTGCCACGGTCGTGTTTGCGCCCACCCCTTCATCCTCCCCCTCATCCACCCCTTCATCCTCCCCCTCATCCACCCCTTCATCCTCCCCCTCATCCACCCCTTCATCCACCCCCTCATCCACCCCTTCATCCTCCCCCTCATCCACCCCTTCATCCTCCCCCTCATCCACCCCTTCATCCTCCCCCTCATCCACCCCTTCATCCTCCCCCTCATCCACCCCTTCATCCTCCCCCTCATCCACCCCTTCATCCTCCCCCTCATCCACCCCTTCATCCACCCCCTCATCCACCCCTTCATCCTCCCCCTCATCCACCCCTTCATCCTCCCCCTCATCCACCCCTTCATCCTCCCCCTCATCCACCCCTTCATCCTCCCCCTCATCCACCCCTTCATCCTCCCCCTCATCCACCCCTTCATCCTCCCCCTCATCCACCCCTTCATCCTCCCCCTCATCCACCCCTTCATCCTCCCCCTCATCCACCCCTTCATCCACCCCCTCATCCACCCCTTCATCCTCCCCCTCATCCACCCCTTCATCCTCCCCCTCATCCACCCCTTCATCCTCCCCCTCATCCACCCCTTCATCCTCCCCCTCATCCACCCCTTCATCCTCCCCCTCATCCACCCCTTCATCCACCCCCTCATCCACCCCTTCATCCTCCCCCTCATCCACCCCTTCATCCTCCCCCTCATCCACCCCTTCATCCTCCCCCTCATCCACCCCTTCATCCACCCCCTCATCCACCCCTTCATCCTCCCCCTCATCCACCCCTTCATCCTCCCCCTCATCCACCTCTTCATCCTCCCCCTCATCCACCCCTTCATCCTCCCCCTCATCCACCCCTTCATCCTCCCCCTCATCCACCCCTTCATCCTCCCCCTCATCCACCCCTTCATCCTCCCCCTCATCCACCCCTTCATCCTCCCCCTCATCCACCCCTTCATCCTCCCCCTCATCCACCCCTTCATCCTCCCCCTCATCCACCCTTTTATCCACCCCTTCATTCACCCTGTCTTCGTGCCCTTGGCTGCCCTCCTGTGTCCCCCCCAGCTACCTGGCGCCCGAGTACCTGTCCCACGGGGCAGTGAGCACGCGCACAGACGTGTTTGCATTTGGGGTGGTGCTGCTCGAGCTGCTCTCGGGGCAGCCTGCTGTGGATGATAGCCGGCCCCGCGGGATGCAGTGCCTCGTGCAATGGGTGAGTGTGGGTGGGGTGCGGTCCGGTAGTGCGATGGGGCGGGGTGGGATGGGGTGGTATGAGAAGGCATTGTACTGGATGGTGTGCGTCTGGAAAGACGTGCTAAAGTGTGATTTGGTAAGTCCATGGCATGGCATGGCATGGTGCGTGGCATGGCATGGTGCATGGGATGGGGCCAGGGAGGGAATAGTATTGGGTGGTGTATGATTGTTATTGGGTGGACAGATGCATGTGAGTTGAATGAAGCTGCTGCCAGCAACAGCACTAGGGCAGCCCATGACAGCACAGACCCTCTTCCCTGTTCATGACCCTCATCCTGCCCATGACCCTCTTCCCTGTTCATGACCCTCATCCTGCCCATGACCCTCTTCCCTGTTCATGACCCTCATCCTGCCCATGACCCTCTTCCCTGTTCATGACCCTCATCCTGCCCATGACCCTCTTCCCTGTTCATCCATCCTGCCTTCTTCATTCAAGCCCAAACAACCCCCCCACGTCTTCCCCAAAGTCCGCTGCTCGCCTTCTCTTCAGCCGCTCGTTCTCACTCCGCCACCCTTGCACTTGCAGCCACGCCTTTCCTCCATTCCTGCATCCCGTCATCCCTTCACCCTTCGTCCTCATATCCCACCTCCAACCTCCCTGCAGGCACGGCCGCGGATAGAAGCGGGCAGGTTGCATGAAGTAGCGGATCCAGCCCTGCAGGGAGGATACCACCCGCACCAGTTCGCCCTGCTCACTCTTCTGTTCCCACCATTGCTCCGCCCCTCCCCGCCCTCCCTGCAGGCTCGGCCGCTGATAGAGGAGGGCAGGCTGCACGAGGTGGCGGATCCCGCCCTGCAGGGAGGTTACCACCCGCACCAGTTCGCCCTGCTCGCCCGCACCGCCCTGCTCTGCACTCACAAGGACCCCTCGCAGCGACCCTCCATGCTGCAGGTACAGCTTTCTCTCTCTCTCTCTCTCTCTCTCTCTCTCTCTCTCTCTCTCTCTCTCTCTCTCTCTCTCTCTCTCTCTCTCTCTCTCTTATTCTCCATATGCTCGCAGCATTCACTTGGAAGAATCCGACTGAACACCCAATTTGCCTGCTGCAGTGCTTGGGTCCTGCCTCTCCTCCGTTCCGCCTCTCCCTCCCATCCTGCCTCTTCTCCATCGCTCCTCTGCATCTCTTCCCCCACACAGTGCACATCCATGGCTCCGACTTTCTCACACAGCCTCCCATGCTCCCATGCCATGCCATGCCATCCCATCACCCCCAACTGCTCTGCTCACCACAGGTGCTCCACCTCATAGACTCGGGCCCTCCTGGCCCTCCTGGTAAAGCGCCCTCGCTCCCACACCCTATGGCCCAGTTACATGTTCAGCCATCCCCCTCTCGCACTCGCTCCATTCTCGTGTAGACCTCGATTCATACACTTGCCCTTGCTAGATTCCTTCATGCATTTTCTCTATGTATTCGTTAGGTAATGAACTGCATGCATAGGGTTGCCTTGCCAACTTCCACAAAGGGCAGACTTTATAAGAGTTCCATGGAAGGTTTTGGTGGTGTATGTATATTAATCTCGAGCACATAGAGCTTCGGATGTTGGGCTTTTAGGGGGTGCCAGAATGTAAATTGCAAGAAGTAGCTCTTTTAAAAAGCTAAATAATGTGGTGCGATTTCACATGATGGTCATGACTGTATGCAGCGAGATTTGGGACACCCTTATCGGAGGCAAGGAACTAGAGTTGTGGAAGTTTAAGTAATATCAGCGATTCTATTACGGTAATTCAAAAACATGCCAGAAACATTTGACGAGATCAGTGGCTTCGCGGTGCCCGCTTTCTCAGTAACGGAGATGCGCTTCGCATGCCGGTGGACAAAGGATGAATGGCGTCAGGTGGGATATTTGTGTGCTCTAGTGGCGGCGCCCCTGACACGTCCCAGCCCAGACCAGCGAGTTGAGCCGATCGCTGGTGCACTTTTGGCTCAAAAGGCCTAGTGGAAGGATGACGTGGCAGGCTTTGAATTTCGATAAGCCCACCTTGCCCAAAGAAGGATTAACTCGCACATCGAGTGAATGCAGAGGGCTAGGTTTGCGAGTTGACCCTTGCCGCTTGTGTTCCAGATCCAAAACACATTCCAGCCCCAGAGAGGCTTCCCAACTGATCTTGCGCTTCTGTCACTTCGCTTGTGTACCAACTTCTGCTAATTGTTCCAAACCGACTCGCACACTCAACCTCGTGGTGGCCACGTATCCTCTCCCCTCCCTCCTACCCCCAACCCAAACCAACCCCTTAATCAGCCACCCAGCTGACTCCTTTTGGCCTCACTTCCCCTCCGCAACGTTCTCCAAACCTCCCAACCCAACCCCCCGAGTCTCGTCCATCGCCCCCCACTCCCATTCCTCCCGTTCATATGCCTGCCTCCCGCCAGTTCAAGCTCTTTTCCTCTCCTCTCAAAAAAGAGGCACAACGATCAGATCGGGCCGCAGCCGCACCTCACGCGCGGGGTTGTGGGTTTCTGTACCCCGACCACAGCGGCCGGCATCTGACGCCATCTGATCGTCATCCTTTCGCGTTACAGTTCGTTTAGTTAGTTATCATTTACTGCCAAAGTCGTTGTGAGGTTTTTCATCACTTTCCAAGGACAGTAGAGTTGAATTTTCTCGCCAATGGCCAACCTCAGACCCGCCGCAGACACGGCCGTGTCAACCGATCGCCATTGGTCCACGTCAGCCTCCCCATCCCTAGACGCGTCAGCGTCAAGCTCTCTCCCAACCCCCTCCACAGCCACTAATAATACAGAAATTCGTCTTCCGTTGTACGCGGCGACGACTCACACCAGCGGTCTGCTAGGCCTGCACCTGCCCACCCCCACTCACGCCGAGCCGCTTCCGGCCAGACGCCGCAAGGAGAGACTGTTTCGCGCGGGCGACCTCGGCGAAACTGCGACGTCGCGAGTGGATTTCGCGAAACGGTCGTTGTCGCAACACGATCAGCAGCAGCCGCAGCAACAGGCTCAACTGCCATGGCAAACTGAAGCGAAAGTTTTCCACCGTCATAGCGCTGGCTCCGCCGTCGCAGTGCATTCTCGTGCGTTCGCGTCTGCGACCGCGGCTGCGACTGCGACTGCGACAGCTTCGACGACAGCGACGCCATCGGGGTCGCCCGGCGTGCTGCGCGGCGACGATGTGGAGTTCGACATCGACTTTCACTTGCACGAGCTGCCGTCCCGCTCGCGACATGCGACGAGTGCGACGGGGGCGCGATATGCTGCGACGGACGTGACGAGCGCGGGCGAGTGGCGGGAGGTGGCGGAGTTGAAGCTTGCGCTGGGCGCGCTCGTGGGACGCGTGACGGCGGAACTGGCGAAAGCGGGGGTGGCGGTCGGATTGGGGAAGAGTGAGGTGAAGGCGGAGCGGAGGGCGGAGCGCAAAGTGCGGCTGAGTCCGGCGGTTAGTCGGCTGGTCAGCGGTGCCGTCGCCGGTGGCGTGTCGCGAACAGGTGCGTGCTGAGGGTAGGGGCGGAAGTGGCAGGGGTTTGGGGGGAACGCGCATGGGGGGGATTGGCGCATGCGGGAGCTAGCGCGTGTTGGGGTGCTCGCATCAGTTTCGTCGTGGCCCGTCGCGACTGGATTGCGCGATTGCTTTCGCGCTCCGCATTCCCCGTGCCCGTCTCCGCTTCCGCAAATCCTGCTATTCTGCGAATCCCCCTTCCGTCCCCATTCCGCCTGTTTCACGTCCCCCACTCCCGTCCTCCCCCTTCCCCTTCGCCCAACCCGCGCGCATCCAACCCACCCCCAAGCCCCCACCCCCACCTCCCCCTCCCCTCCCCTCCTTTCTCCGCTCTCTCCCTCCGCCAGCGACGGCGCCGCTGGAGACGATTCGGACGCACATGATATGCGGGCGGGGCGGGCTGGCGGCCAATGGGAGCATGACAGCTGTCTTCCAGTGGGTTCTGCGCACGGAGGGGTGGACGGGGCTGTTCCGCGGCAACGCCATCAACGTGCTCCGCGTCGCGCCCAGCAAAGCGATTGAGGTGCGGCGAGGGCGGGAGTGGAGGGGGGGGGGGGAAAAGGGGGGAATTAGGGAGGAGGAATGAGGGGAAAATGGGGGGGGGGGTGGGAGGGGGATTGAGGGGAATGAGGGGGAAAATAAGGGGGAAGGTGGGGGATTGGGAAGGGAATGCGCGTGGCGGGGAGCAAGGCCATGGCGCCCCCTTTCGCCTGAGAGGGCAGCTCGTTTTCTGCGGCACGCTCCCATGCCCCATGTCACTCCCAACCTCCCTTGGCTTCCCCCTTCACAACCTACCCCCTTCACAACCTACCCCCTTCACAACCTACCCCCTTCACAACCTACCCCCCCCCTTCACAACCTACCTACTTCACAACCTACCTACTTCACAACCTACCCCCTTCACAACCTACCCCCTCCACAACCTACCCCCTGTCCCCCGTACCCCTCTCGCCTCCCCTCTCTCACGCTTCGACCTGTTCTTCCACTCACATCCCCCCCTTTCCCCCTCCCCCCATCTTCCGCTCCCCTCTCTCCCCCCCGGCCACCCCACAGATGCTCACGTACGACACAGGCAAGCGCTTCTTGATCCCCAAAGAAGGCTGCCCCTCCATCATTCCGCGCCAGCTGCCCCTCCACGTCTCCATCGCCGGCTCGTCCGCTTCCTGCCCCCTCACCTATCCGCTCGGGTTGCTCCTTCTCTCCATGCTTTCTCATGCCCCTTCTCATGCCTCCCTCCATCTCCCCCCTCCCCCCTTTTCCCTGCTTCCCACCCCACAGATGCTCACATACGACACGGTCAAACGCTTCCTCACTCCCAAAGAAGGCCGCCCCTCCATCATCCCGCGCCAGCTCCCCATCCCCATCTCCTCCATTGCCGGCTCCTCCGCGGGCATCGCGTCGTGCCTGCTCACCTACCCGCTGGAGCTCGTCAAAACGCGCCTGACAGTGAACCCTGACATGTACCGCGGCGTGCTGCACGCGTTCCACCGCATCATCATGGAGCAGGGCGTGGGGGAGCTGTACCGCGGGGTGGCGCCCAGCGTGGTCGGCATGATTCCGTATGCTGGCGCGAATTTCTACGCGTATGACACGCTGTGTACCGCATATAGGAAGGCGCGAGGGCGGGAGGAGATCGAGCCGCTGATGACGCTGGTCATTGGCTCCACTGCTGGGTGCTTTGCGGCTGCTTCGACATTCCCCTTGGAGGTTGCACGGAAACATGTAAGCACGGGGACTTGATGTGGCTCAGGCATTCCACATCCCACTCGATCCGCTTTTCTCCCACCCTCAAATCAAACAACCCGAGCATGCGGGTGCGCAAACCCTTGTTGCTCTTACCCTCTCTGTCCCCCCGAGGGGCACTCTGCACATGCGTCCATGATCCATGGCAATGCAATGTGGATGGCAGGTGCCAATCTCCATAGGCGTAAAGCTGCCCTGGCTCATGGCTCATGGCTCATGGCTCATGGCTCATGGCTCATGGCTCATGGCTCATGGCTCCTCATCTGCCCTGCCCCTCTCTCCCATGCTAAACCCGGTTCCTTCCTACTTCCTTCCTACTTCCTTCCTACTTCCTTCCTACTTCCTTCCTACTTCCTTCCATGCCAGCCCGTTCCCTCCCTCCTAGAACTGCACGTGCCACCCTCTCTGCGTTCCCCCCACCAATCTCAACTCATCTCCTCCCTTCCCCCATCCCAACTTCCCTCCCATTCATACCCCCTTGCCCTCTGCTGCTGCAGAAGAGTGCAACATGTGGCAGGGTGGCATACACAGGAATGTTGCAGTGCATGAGGAGCATTGTGAGGGAGCAAGGCGTCAAGGGGCTGTACCGTGGGGGGGGTGGTGCCCTCCTGTGTCCACTGTTGATGCTACTAGTCCCTCTCTCCCTCGTCCAAATATTTAGTGTTCTTCTCCCCTCGGGCTGACCATCATCTCCCTTCTCCCACTATTGCAGCTTCAAATGGGGGCAACAGGAGGCAGGGTGGCATACACAGGCATGCTGCAGTGCATGAGGAGCATAGTGAGGGAGCAGGGTGTCAAGGGGCTGTACCGAGGGGTGGCGCCTTTGTGTGCCCTTCCGTGATGCTGCTAGTCTCTCTCTCCCTCCTCTCCGAACTATACACATTGTCCATTCTCTCCCTCTTCCCTCTGTTGCAGCTTCAAATGGGGGCGACGGGCGGCAGGGTGGCATACACAGGCATGCTGCAGTGCATGAGGAGCATAGTGAGGGAGCAGGGAGTCAAGGGGCTGTACCGAGGGGTGGTGCCGTCGTGTGCCAAGATGATGCCTGCTGCTGGCATCTCCTTCATGTGTTATGAGGTGCTCAAACGCGTGCTTATAGAGGATGAAAAGGTACGATAGTTTCATTTTTATTTTTACTATTGGAAAACCGCTGGCTTGATGGCTTTGTTCGAGTAAGGTTCTGTAGGTTGTGATTAGAGAGGCAGGTGATGGCTCCATCCAACAGTGTTGATGCAAGAAACGTTGGTACTGAATTGAAGGGTTGAATTAGAATCCGTAACAGACTCTGGTACTCTGCTGTTCCTATGCTTACCACATTGTTAAACTGCTGTAATTAAATCAGGTGAACTAGTGAGTGGAGGAAAATAATGCTTCTCCAATGTCCGAAATGTTATTTGTTTGTCTCGAACTACCTACACTTCATCGCTTGTCCCTTCATCTGTTGACGAAGACCCTTTGTTGAAAATCGAGGACGTGGCAATCAATGCGACCACTGTTTCGTCGAAGCAATTCATGCGCCGCTCCACGCCGCTGGTTCGTTCCGCGTCCAGATCCCGACCAAGCCAACGAAGCAGAAGCGGAAGGCCCACAACAAACCACATCTGGCAGTCAAGGTGGAGTGTGATTGGTTGCGTTATCCTCAGTCGTGGCTGGTGGAGGGAGATTGGGGGGAGGTCTTGGAGAGGGTGGTTGCTTATCATCGACGTGAAGTACACCGCAATTTTAGGGGTAGCCCATATGTATCCAAGGGTTGGCACTGATGGTTTCCGCGGTTTTTCGACACGAATTTTTTCACACCGATTTAGAGAATACTTGGCGGCACCAACATTTCTGTCATCAGCTGCTCTGTCTCTGTTGACTCATGGCTGAGGCCACCTCGCCCACCTCAAGGACGAAGTGTTGGAAAAAACAAAAGGAGCGTTTTCGTTGTCTGGACAATAGTTCCGAATGACAAGTGAGTCACCAGCCGAAAGACCCAGACAGCGGAAGGCGATTCAACGGCGGCGGAACGTTTGTGCTTTTGCTGCTGGAAAGGACATGTGTACACCCCCCTCCTCCCTCCTCCTCTCCCCCTTCCCTGCAACAAAGGCCACATGGAAATCTGGCGGCCGCAACAAGAGGATTCGTCGAATTTGGTCAAATCGTGGAGGAATGTGAACTCCAATAGGCAAGATTTCATTCGACCGTCCAATCCCATTCCATCCCATTTTCGTGTGTCGCACCGTACGACACTGTAGATAGAGATGACTTTCCGGAACCAAGGGGGGCAGTTTTCATAAACAAAAAGAAACCACAAAATGTCTTGCTGGCAAGATCGTTCATAAGCTCTGATGAGCACCCACAGATGTCCACAGTACATCTCACACAATACTATTAAACCGCTCCCCGCGCCTACATAATGAGGGACAAATTCCGCCCAACCAGACCCACATGTTCGTTCGAAAACGGAGGTTTCCCGTTATCATCGTTCTGCCGAGCTAGTAGTGCATAAAACACTGACTGAAACCTCTTCAACACTCTTTCCGCACAACCATCCTTTGTTTTCGCGTGCGGCTTCCCAGATGCTCCTCTCGTACCAAATCTCGCATCTCCGCGTTGGTTCCTTCAAACCTGACACTACACGAGCACAGGTAGCAAGACTACACCAACCAAGTCCAGTAGTGGTGTAGGACTGCCATGGCTGCAGCCGTCGCTTTTGATAGTTCTCGCTGCCATGGCGTACGTGAGGCAGCTGTTCTTGCATCTCCATGCCGCCTCGTTACGATGCAGCACAGTGCAGTCCCCGCAATCGACGGCAATGGCAGCATCAAGCACAGTGACAGCTCCGTTAATTTAAGCCTAAGTACCCTACTTACAGCTGACGAGTCCAACGAGCGGGTGTTAAATGCGACGTCATCCGGTGACGACTCGCGTACGTCGCATGTTTCGAGTACTGCGTCCCAAGATACCTTCGAGGCGACTAGCGATGCGACTAGCGTCAGCAGCGATGCGTCTCCTGGCGGGACTTACAATAACGCGTTTCAACTCGACGGGGCTTCTAGCTGTATACACGAAGGAGCGGCTCAAGACCTCCACCGCGAAACGCGCGTTGATTCAGGTGACTTGGCTGAACCACGTGGCAATGAGAATCCCGCAGGCAGCGAGCATTGTGCCTCCCCGTCGCCACGTGGCGATCTTAGCGGAATAGTTCAACCAGCGCCTTCGGCGCATTGCTTACTTGCCGAAACGTCGCTTTGCGAAAACAACAGTCGCGATTGTCACGTAATGAGCGAAGCCAGTCCGTCAGCGGAGGCTTCTGAACTAGCCACGGAGCGCCTTTCGTTAAACACGACTCCAGCCCTTTTAGCACCGTTACGCGAACAACAGCCAGACTGTTTTGCCCCGTTAGAAGCAGACTCGATGTCGTGCATAGGAAATCCCCGCGAGACGGGATGGGAGAGCGTGCGACGCGCGCTGGAGGAGAAAGCGGCCGAGCGGCTCGAGGGGATGCAATCGTCAGAGCACCACGCTATTGGCACGGTGAACTCAATTCGGCGTCTAACGAGCAACTGCGGCGCGGCGGAAATTCTGGAACGGATACAGACGGAAGGGGAGGAGGTGACGGACGAGCAAGACGGCGACGGTGACGACGACGGTGACGGCGGCGCGCGGTGCGAGGCGGCAGGCGGCGCCGATTTACTCGCGCGGCCCGCTGCCGGGGGTTCCGCGCGATGGTGGTCCGCATGGTCGGGGTCCGCGCGCCTCGATGCCGTTCCCGAAACTTCGCGGAACTCTCCGCGCAGCGCGGATGCAGCGCCGCGACATGCCTCCATGCCGCGAACCGACGCGGCCGCGCCCCTACGAGACGCCGTCACTCAGAGTAACCTCCCCGCGCCGCGCGACGACTCCTCCCCGCATCGCGAGCCTTCCACTCCGCGCGGCGGCTGCAGTGTCGGCTGCGGCGGCGGCGGCGCGCGCGTTCGCCCGGCGCGGTGGCAGATGGACGCGTCGCAACTGGTGATTCGCAACTTCGTCGCGCGCGGCTCGTTCGGCACCGTGCATCGCGGGCAGTACAAGGGCCGCGACGTTGCCGTGAAGCTTCTCAACTGGGAGGGAGAAAGCGTGCACGGGGGCGCGCGGGCCGCGGCGGCGGTTGCGGCGGCGGTTGCGGCGGCGGGAAGAATCGTCGGCGCGCGGAATGGCGGAAACGCTGGTGGCGCGGTGGGTGCAGCTGCGGAGGCGGAAGCGGGGGCGGTTGCGGTTGCGCTCGCGGGGGTTGGTAAAAATGCGGGGGAGGCCGTGCGCGGGGAAAAAAATGGCGCGGGGAAGGCTGTTGGGGGGAAGTCCGAGGTGATGGCGGAAAGAAACTCCGCAGATTTGGCGTTTCTGCGGGATGTTTTTGCGCAAGAGGTGCTCGTTTGGAGCAAGCTTCGACATAAGAACATCTGTGAGTTCGTGGGCGCGATCATCGGCGGACAGGAGTCGTACGATCTGACATCGACGGCGGAGGATCACCAGGGGCAGTTGCGCGTGGGCAGCAACTTTTGCTGTTTGGTGTTGGAGTTTCTGCCGGGCGGAACGCTGAAGCAGCTCTTAGCGAAGCAGAGCAAGAAGAAGAAGCGGCTGCCGTTGAAACGCGCGTTGCATCTGGCGTTGCAAGTCGCGGAAGGGTACGTACGTACGCTCGTTCGATCGCACGTGGAGCGTGGATAGGCGCAGGCGCGGCGCGGTATGGGACGAGAGAGAGAAAGCAGAGACTGAAGCGAGCGAGCGTGGTAGGGGTGTTGGGGGGCATGTGAGCGCACGGGCAGACCGTCGCGGGGGGTGACTGAGAATGCACCGCGCGTTTCTAAAGCATTGGTGCAGTTTTTCCCCTTATCGTCGCCATCCCTCTTCTGTTCATATATGCATCGTTCGCTCCTTCTCCCTCTCTCTCCCTCTCTCCGTCGCCCCCTCCTTCCTCGCCGCTCCCCTTCCCTGCCCCCGCGCCCTCCCTCCTGCCCCCATACAGCCTGCGCTACCTGCACGCGCGCAGCATAGTGCACCGCGACCTCAAGACCGACAACCTGCTGCTCGACCAGGCACACAGGTGCGCGCGCATTTCCTCTGCTCCCGCGCGCCCCTCCTGCTCCCACCCTCCTCTCGCTCACCTGCCTCATGTTCACCCGTCCCTCGCCCGCCTGTTTTTGAGTTGACTCAAAATTACACGCGCCTCTCGTTCGCCTGCCCCTTCTCCGTAATTGCCACTCACCCACCCTTTATGTGACCTTATCTAACTTTCGTTCTGCACTGCGCCGGTTGCGTCACCGTCGCCATGCCATGCCACGTCACCATCCGTGCGCAGGGTTGTGAAGATTGCAAACCTTCCGCCCGCCCCACCTTCTGTAACTGCCACGTACCGACCAACCCCTTATGTGACCTCAATTATATTTGCATCCGCACTGTCTCTGTGCGTCACCATCACCATGCCAAGTCACCATCACCATGCCACGTCACCATCACCATGCCACGTCACCATCGGTGCGCAGGGTGGTGAAGATTGCCGACTTCGGCGTGTCGAGGGTGGAGCCGGGGGACCGCTCCATGAAGCGACGCACCGGCACCTTCGGCTACATGGCACCCGAGGTATGATGGGTGCTATGCATGCAAGGTGCATGGTGCCTGAGTTATGCCTTTGTTGGAAGGTGCATGGTGGCCAAGGCAGGTAACGAGGGTATGGTCATCTGAGGCAAGTAATTATGACCACATGGCAGATGTTTCTACGGCATCGTGAGATGTTCATGTGCGGTATCCATTTCTCCTGCCAAGGCTTCAAACCCCATCTCTCCACACCACCCCATCTCCCTCACCCCAGGTGCTCAAGGAGCAGCTGCATGACCACAAGAAGGACATGTACAGGCATTGTGCGCTGGTTATGTGTGGTACCGCATTCTCAACCCCCATCTCTCCACACCACCTCTGCTGCAGGTGCTCAAGGAGCAGCCGTACGACTGCATGGCGGACGTGTACAGCTATGGCATTGTGAGATGGTCACTTGTGGTAACCCGTTCAGAATTCAGTCACCATGTATTTGCATCACTCCATCTCCCTCACGGCAGGTGCTCAAGGAGCAGCCGTACGATCACATGGCGGACGTGTACAGCTACGGCATCGTGCTGTGGGAGATCGTTACCTGTGGCAACCCGTTTCTCTTTGAGGGACTCAAGCCAGAGCAAGTCTGCTGCATGGTCAACCAGGTGAGGGGGAGAAAATCAAGAGAGGGAGGGTAAATTGGTTGAAAGGAGAGGAGAGGAGCGGAATGGGAGTGGGTGGTGGGGACAGGAAATAGCTTGAGGGGAAGAATAATGTTTAAAAGAAAACTTATTTTAACTGGCCTTCGTTACAAGTCAACCCTCACACCATGCCACCCTCACATCCTCCCCTGCACATCCCAGGGTCTGCGTCCAGACATCCCCTCGTCGTGCCCGCCCGCCCTCGCTGACCTCATGCAGCGCTGCTGGCACCACACGCCTGCCCGCCGCCCGGATATGGCCGAGGTGGTGGAGCGGCTCCGCGTCCTCACCTTGCAGTGCTCGCCTGCCATTCCCGCCTGTGCCTGCATGTAGCCTGGTGGAGGTCACTATAAGAAATCTCAAAAGTGCCGCACGGACATGGGGGAGGTGGTGCATTGGTTCTGCGTCCTCACCCTGCAGTATGCATCTGCGATTCCCACCTGTGCCTGCATGTAACTTGGTGGATGCGGGCTTGTGCGTGTGTGCCTCATCATGCAAGCACGGAGTCATTTGGTGTTTTTCTGCTGCCAAGATTTGGAAGGTGTGAATGCCAGACTATCACATATTGTGGTAGGCCGTTTTTCCTGTGTTGATCTGTGGTTTGAGCTTCCCTCACTAGTATACCTTTTGGTGCGGTGAGGTGGCTTGTTGATTTTTGAGGTCCCTTACATGTTTTGTATTTACTATACCCGTTAGCAATGCGTAAGCTCGTTACAAATTCACTCGAAACGAGTAGCAGTAGTGCGGTACTTTGGCTGCAGACTTTCCCGCCAAATCTTCGGGGCCTTCACATGGTTGTTTGCAAAATTGAATCTCCATTTCTCACCACCACTGCCTTGTGATTCAAGATTCACCGTATCTGGCTGAGCTCGTATCGCGAATCGCATCATGGCTGCAACCAGACCTCTTTCTTTGGTTTGGACCAAGTGGGCCCTGCCACCAAACCTAATCCTTACCTCTACTCTACATACCCGCTGCATACAGCAATTCATACCCACTAATTTTCCACACTAGCTCTCTCCATGCATAGTCAGTAAGAGCGTGTCGGGCCCACTACCTTTCCACGCTTTTCCCGCTTCCGCCATCACCTGTCTCTCTCGCCATGTTCGCGCGCAGTCCATCCGCTCGCCCTGATTGGGCGCTGCATGCGCCAAAGCCACCGCTTGCGGGATGCGCGGTGGCGGAGACGAGGAGCGCGCGCGGTAGAGCGGCGTTAATGACGCAGCAGCGGCGCTACTAGATGAAGTAAGAGAGCAGGATTCTTTTTGGTTGGCACGTGGCGCGATTCGACTTCTCAAACGACGCGCAAGCAGCAGCAGAGGAGGAGCAACGCGAGCCGCGTATGCACATATCAACGGCGGCAAGATTCGATGGAGCCAGGATCGCCGCGCTACCTTAAGCTCATGCGCGGCGCACAGCAGGGGTTGACCGCTGATGGTGGGAAGCCGCAGGGGGGCGGCGAGGCGGGTTACCCGCAGCAATATTTTCCGCCGCAACAACAACAGCAGGTGCAGCAGCCACATTTACAATTGGCCGGAATACGACAGCAGATTCAACGACAACAGCTACAGCAGAGCCAACAGCAGCACCACCATCACCATCATCATCACCACCAGCAGCAGCAGCAGCAGTGGAAATTGGATCATGCCCAATCCCCCGTATTTCTTCTCCCGCCGCGTTTCGAGCCGTCTCAGGACCCACTGACCTCGTTCCAAGTCGCGCACCTCCCCGCGTCGCCCCCTCCAGCGTGTCTCCCGCCGCCCCAAGCGCCGCTCTTCCCGCCCCCAATCGCTCGGGAACTCGATCTCGCCTCGCCTCATTCACCTCTCGCAGAGGCCGCCCAGCAGATCGCGGCGCTGCAGCAGCAGCTGCTGACGGAGCGCGTTTCACTTGAACAGAATCTGGCGCGGCTTCGTCAGGAAGCGCGGGAGGCGGAGGCGGCAGCAGCGCAGCAGGCGCGACTGGAGCTAGAGGCCGCATTGGCTGAAGCGTCCGGAAAGGCGGCAGCGGCAACAGCAGAAGCGGCAGCAGAAGCGGAAAAAGCAGGTGCGAGAGCAGCAGCAGCGGAAGCAGCAGCAGCGGCGGCTGAGGCGCAGCAGGCGCGGCTTGAAGCGGAGGTAGCGGCGATGGAGGGGCGAGTGGGGGCGCTGCGGAAGCAGGCGGGGGCGGAGAGGGAGGGTAGGGTGGCGACGGCGGCGCAGCAGGCGCGGCTGGGGGCGGAGGTGGCGGCGATGGAGGCGCGAGTGGGGGAGCTAAGGGAGCGGGCGGAGGTGGAGAGGGAGGGGAGGGTGGCGGCGAATAGGGAGGTGACACGTGTGGTTGAGGAACTGAGGCGGGCGGAAGAGCGTGTGGCAGCATGCGAGCAAGAAAAGCAGACGCTGAGAGGTGAGAGGTGAGGGGTGAGGGGTGAGGGGTGGGGGGTGGGAGGTGGGATGTGGGAGGTGAGGGGTGGGAGGTGCTGTCAGTGTACGGTCGAACAATATTTCTTGCTTTCCCTTCTCCCCTTCCCCGCTTTCCCTTCCCTCCTTCCCCCTTCCCCTGTTCCCTCATCCCCCCCGCTCCCCACTGCCATCCCCAGCCCCTCCGTCGCTGCTGCCCTTCCGAACCCAACTCTTCCTCTGCCCTCCCAAACCCCTCCGTGCAGACGAGGCAGCAGTGCTGGCGCAACACGAACTGGGCCTCAGAGCTGCGCTGGTGTGAAACACGGGCGTGCCGCCGTGTGTCCTCCCTCCCTCCCCATCCCTTGCTTCCATTGCCCCCTCACACCCCTCCGTGCAGACGAGGCAGCATTGCTGGCGCAACAGGCAGTGGGCCTCAGAGCTGCGCTGGTGTGAAACATGGGCGTGCCGCCCTATGGCAGCAGCATCGGAGCGTATGTAACCTACCTATGGCACCACCACCCGGTGTTCGATCTCCCCACCCACTTGCTTCCATCCCCCCCTCCCCCCCCCCCCTCCCCACTAGTAGAGGAGGCGGCAGCGCTGGCGCAACAGGCGCTCGACCTCAGAGCTGCGTTGCAAGCAGCAGAGGCGGAGAGGAGTATTTGAGTCGACTCAAAATGCGCTGCCCTCCCCAACCCCCAACCATGCGTGCAGAGGAAGCGGCAGCGCTGGCGCAACAGGCACTCGACCTGAAAGACGCTCTGCAAGCAGCAGAGGCGGAGAGGGGGAGAGTTGCTGCAGCGGCTGCTGCTGCTGAGAGCGAGAGGGATGAACTGAGACGAGGGGTGGTTGAGGTGAGGCGAGAGGTGGATGAGGTGACGATACTACAGGTGAAGGAGGTTCAGATGCTGCAGAGGGAGAGGGACGAGGCGAGGCGAGAACTGAAGGAGGCGAGGAGGGAGTTGGATGAAGTGCGATTACTGCAGGTGGAGGAGGTGCTGCCGCTGCAGAGGGAGAGGGACGAGGTGAGGCGAGAAAGGGACGAGGCAAGGAGTGAAAGGGACGAGGTGAGGCGAGAGTTAGAGGAGGTGAGGAGGGAGCTTGATGAAGTGAGATCATTGCAGGTGGAGGAGGCGCAGGTGCTGCAGAGACAGAATCAGCAGCTGCCTTGCCAGATCCAGCAGCCTCAGCAGCAGCCGCAGCCGCCGCAGCAGCAGCGTTCATCTCAGCAGCATGAGCAGCAGCAGCGGCAGCAGCATGAGCGCGTGGAGTGTCGGTTGGGCAGCCGCACGCATCATGTGCTGGTGGATCGCCGCTTGTTACACTTGCTCTCACCAGACGCTGCTCGGAGCAGCAGCAGCGGTGACGCAGCAAGGGCTGAGGGCACTGGAGCAGGGGGGAATGAGGCCGAGAGAGGAACTGGAGGAGAGAGCGAGAGAGGAATGGTAGCAACAGGAAGGGCAGCTGGGGTGGTGTGTGATTTGCTGGAGGCTGCAACAGCGGCTGTGGCAGCAGCAGTGGGGGACAGGCAGGCGAGCAGCGATGCGCTGGCTTTACTATCACAGGCACAGGTGATACTATCGAGGGTGATAGTACCAAATGCTGGCGATTCAGGGAGCTTCGGAAGTAGCAGAAGCAGTGCACACCCGTTAACCCCTTCATCCTCCTCTCCCTTTGGGCTTCCCTCCTCCTCGTCCTGTTCAAGCTCATCCTCTTTAAAGGATGCTGCGATATTGGCTGCAAGAGCAGAGAGGGAGCGGCTAGTGAGGAGATTGGAGGAGGTGGAGGCGCGATGGGAGAGGTCCCAGGACGAGCTCCGGAGGAGTTTGGGGGAGAAAGAGGAGCTTAAGAAGGAGTTGAGTGCGGTTCTGGGGAGTGTGGCAGAAGAACCGAGGGAGTGGGCGGAGAGGAGGGAAGAGGAGAGGAGGAAGAGTAATGGGGTGATGATGATGCTGGGTGTGGTGGAGAGAGGGAGGGAGGAAGCGGAGAGGAGGAGGAGGGATGCGGAGAGGAGGTGTGAGTGGATGGAGAGGAGGTTAAGGGAAGCAGAGAGAAGGCTGGAGGAGAGGGGGTTGGGGGTGGGCGCTGGGATGGGGATGGGGGTGGGAGCGGGGGTGGAGGTGAGTGGTAAGGTGGAAGGAGAGGGTGGGAAGTTAGTGGGGAAGGGTAAGGGGAGTGAGGGGAACGGGGCAAGTGTGGGAGGAGGTGGGGATGGGGGATGCGAGGGTGGGGGAGGAGACAGAGAAGGGGAGGTGATATCAGGGGAAGGGGAGAGGAAGTGGCATCAAGCAGCAGCGAAGCAGCAGCAAAGGCAGCTGAAAGGGCAGCAGCAGGCGGGGGAACGAGAGCAGCAGGTACGAGGGGAACAGCAGGTACGAGGGGAACAGCAGGCAGAGAAGATAGAAGGTAATGGGCAGGACAGAACGGAGGGCGCACAGCACGAGCAGCAGCAAGGGCTGGGGGGGCAGGAGAAGCATGAGGGGCAGGGGGGACGGAACCAGCAGTGGCAGCAGCAGCGGCAGGAGCAGGCAGAAGGGCAGCAACACGTGCAAGCGCGGAGCCGAATGGAGCGGGTGTCAGTGTGGGCCCAGCAAAGGTGGGTGTGGAGCGCAACACCAGGGATGTTGGGCAATCTGACATGTCTAATATATAGCACTCGCACTGATCATATTTATCACTGTTATCGTACTTTCCTTGCCTATCACATTTGTCACATTTTCCCTCAGGAGTTTCCATCATTGTCGATCGACCTGCCGCCATCCTGACTGCAAGCTCCACCACGGCCCTCGTTCTTCGCCCAATCCGCTTCTCCTGATGCTTCTCGTTCACCTCTTCCGTGTTCCCCCCAGGAGCCCGCACTACCGCCGAGAGTATCGCCACTATCAGGACCGGCAGCATCGAGGCTACCACGCGTCCCCAATGCCCTCCCCCTCTTCCTCCGCCTCTGGTCATGCTGGTGGTGCTTCCAATGCAGCTCCCTCTGCCTCTGCCGTTGCTCCTCCCCTTCCGACTATGTCCACTCCTTTTGCTGCACCTGTAGTTGCTGCAATCCCGTCTTCTACTGCTGCTGCTGCTGCTGCTACTTCTGTTGCTGCTGCTGAGGCTCAATCTTCGTTTTCTTCTGCTGAAGCTCCTTCTGTGCGACATGATCCACCCCTCCCTTCCACCCCTTCTGCACCATCCTCCCTCTTCTCCTCCTCTTTACTCACCTCTCTTATTGACTGCGTACCTGGCAGCGGCAGTAGCAGCAGCAGAATGAGCCCACCGCACAGCAGAGAGCTGAACCGCACACGCAGCAGCGTTACTGATGCAGCTGGTGACTGGGGTGCCACAGCAGGCAGGGCAGCTGAGGAATGGGTCAGCGAAAGCAGGGCAGTTGAGGAATGGGTCAGGAAAAGCAGGAGAGGTGGAGATTGGGAGGGTAGTGAAGGCAGGGGAAGCATCACTGCGAGCGACAGGAGGGATCAGCTCACTCACACACACACTGTCTCCTCGTCCCCGGCTTACAGCATCCTCAATCTCTCTTCTTTCATCCGCTCCCCCAATGGGTTGATGGACGGTGGGATGGTTCTTAGCTATCAAAAGGTGGAGGGCAGTGAGAGGGCCTTGAGGTTCCACCCTTCTGGCAGCAGCAGCAGCAGCAGCTTGAGGCACCACAGCAGTGGGAACGCCCCACCATCTCCCCTCACCTCTCAGCAGCACCTGTCCTCTGCTTCTGCTGGTGTGATGCCTGGTGCTTCTGGGCCTGGTGCTTCTGGTACTGTTGCTGCTGGTGCCTCTGTTGGGAACACCAGCACAAGCAGCAGCGGTTGCGATGTTAAAATTCCTACACACATCGCCCTCTCTCACTCTGGGTCCATTTCTGAGACCAGCTCGGTCCGGCAAGGCAACAGGGTAGGTAGAGAGAGGGCACACATGCATGGGGGGCACAGTGGTGTAAGAGGGGGAGAAGGGTTGGAGGCAGCTGATTGGCTGTCAGAGCTCTCTGATAACACGAGCATGGATGAGGTTGATCAAATACTGGCTCAGATGGGGCTCAGATTGGGGGAGGCGAGCGCGGGGGAAGGAAAGGTTGCAGGAGGGCCGGAGGCAGATGGCATGAGAGGGGTTTATGAGGTTGGGGTGAGGAGTGCAGGGGAGCATGCTAAGGAGAGATTGCGGTATGAGCAAAGGCAGCTGAGGAGAATGATTAGGAAAGGGGCAGGGAGTCCAATGCAGTTTGGGGATACAATGAGGTTTGGGAGAGGGAACGAGAGTGGAGGCGAGTTGACGCCGAAGTCAATTGACCCTCTCAAGATCCAGTCATCATCACAGCATGCAAGAGATGCTACGATTCTGTATCAATAATAATGCATTGTTGAATGGAGCTACCTTATCATGCAATCATAGTACCAGTACCACACATTGAATGTCTGTTAAAATAAGGATGCCGAAAATCACCCAACTGAATTCGAGCAATTGCTCTGGAAGCTAGAGTCAACTTCCCATATGCTTTGCCCGCTTTCCTGAGTCCAACTGAGCATAGCTGATCTTGGATCCATTGTCCATGGAAACCTGGACCACAAAATCAGCAAACGTCTGAAAGGCCCGATTGTGGCTCACACAAAGAACCTGCCCTTTTTTTGCGAGCTCGCTCTGCACAAGAGCGCCAACCCTGCTCTGATTCTCCTCATCAAGGGCAGCATCCACCTCGTCCATCAGGTACACAAAGTTTTGGCTGCACTGGGCAATTGCCAGAACCAGTGCAACACTCAAAAGAGTTCGTTGCCCACCTGCAACATACACACGCCAGTCACAACTCAGCAGGATAACAATACATCAATCATTGGGTCACTTGGAAGATGCGTCTGCATACCAGAGAGCTGACTGAGGTTTGTGTTCCAAGATGGTGCAGAATCCTCTGATGCAGGACTGTTACAAAAGGCAATCATAATGCCATCTTCAACAGTTTCTCCAAGTTGAATGAGATTGACAGACTTGTTTGGAAGGAGATGGAGGCATAGGTTCTGAAATGAAGTCTTCACTCGAGTGTAAGTGTCCCTGTTGACCATTAGCACCTGGACGAACACGATCACGGATTTTCAAGTGCTCCAAATAAACATGGACAAAAAAGGAGATGCAATATGCCAGAATGGAAAATGGGGATATGCAGGAGAGGAGCTGGAGAGTTTAAAGTTTTTTTGAAAGGGAATGCCTTTGACTTGGCGCGTGATATTCCTTCCTTCAAAACTTTCATAGAGTTCACGATCGATGCTGCGCGGTCCTTGAACATCTTCAGGGTGGATATCCGTGTGCCAAAGGCATCCCTCTCTTGGTCTGACAGCTTTGCATGCTTGAGCCTGACATGAAAGAACACAATAAGAAACATTATAACAAATTTTCCATGCTTGAGGTATGAATCACTTACTTTGAAAGGCGGCAAAGAAGAGCTTTCCACTCTGCTCCAGGCTCCAGTGTCTCAGTGCTATCCAGGTCCATGTCATCTGAATTCGATAAATGTTCCTCCTCTGTATTGGCCAGCAGCTCCGATTCCTGCAAATGCAGCCAGAAATTGCATGAGTGTTACAAAATCAGGTAAAAAAATGTGACACCAAGAACTTACCAGGACTTTCTCCACCTCTGATATCCTTTCTCTTGCCTCTGCAATTCCTCCTTGTACGTTCTTCAGATCTGAATTGAGGCTTAGCATTTGATCACGGAGCTTGCTGTGTTGTGTTTCCAGAATTTCAATGTTGGTCAAAATCCCTGCCAGCTTCGCCTTCCGTACTTCCCTCTCACACTTTGACTTGTGCATATCTCCCTCAATATTCGCAATCTGGCACTTGATGGTCTTCTGGTGTTGATGGAGGTTTCCCATCTTTTCCTCCAGATCTTGCACACTGGTGGCATCCATTGCCTCCTCTATCACTAATTTCTCATCTCTGAGCTTTGCAACCTTCATTGTCAGCATATTCAGTCTTGACTCAATATCTTGAGCAGCTGAGAGTATTTTTGTCCTCCAAGCGGCAAAGGTACCAGCCGAATCAACTGGGCCAGCATTCAGTAGCTTTCGAAGTTGTGCTACCACTATCTCTTTTGCTTCCACTTTCCCTTCCACTGCCACAAGGGCATCTTGAGCGTCAACGAATGCCAGCTTAGCTTGTTCACGAGAATCAAGCAGGAGCTTTTCCTGAAATTTGAGGTGCAATGTAAGCCATTTGTAAATCATTTGACAGAAACTTGAAGAACGGACATACCTTTCTGTCCAGTGCTCTCATCTCCCCTGAAATGCCATCAAGCCTCAATAGGTTTTGTTGCACCCGCTCAATCTCCGACTCAAGGCTCTTGATTGCCTGCAAATGAGGTGACAATGACAACATGAAACAAACTCACTTTGCTAAGATCAAACAAACTGTATATCACCGAGATTATCATCACCTGGACAGACTGTACTATGCACAATTCTGTGCTCTTGACCTGGTTTTGAACCCTGTCGTGTTCAAACTTGGTCACCATCACCCGGGGAGTTCTGCTACCTCTCCAACCGCCAGAAAGAAAGCCTCGTTTGTGAACTTTTCCATCAAGTGTCACACTCCGAATGCCGTGATTTAAGGCAAGGTCAGCTGCCACAGTGTCGTCCATTGCAATAATAAAGCCGCTGAAAAGCTTTGCAAGTGCTGGAAGAAAGCGAGGATCAAACTCGAGTAAGTCAAGAGGAAGAACCACGGATCCTTCCTCAAGCCTCTCTTTCACAAACGAATGATCCTGCCTTCTGTCATCCACAACAAGGGATCCCAGAGGCCAGATGCGATTAAACACGCTTGGATGCCTGAGATCCTCCCACAGATCCAGAAGGGACTTTGCGTCGTGCATATTCTCCACAATGCAAGTGGAGCTGATCTGACCTGCAACTTCATGGGGTTAAACCAATGGGAACCATATGCATATGCAGGAATTTGGCTTCAACAAAGCATGCGTGAACCCACCTGCAATGACATCCAAGGCTGTGAGAAACTTGGCACAACCGACTCTTTGATCTGTCTTGAAACGGAAAACTGAGTGCAATGGCCAAGCAGGGAACTTCAAATCCGCGGGTTCCAGACTTCCAAGCTGTGCCTTCAAGACTTCGAGCTGAGTCCTTAGGGCAGCTTCCTTTCTCTTCATGGAATAAGGCTCTTGACTCTGCCTCTGTGACTCTGCTTGCAGATCTCGCAGCAGAGATAACAACTCTTCCCTTGACTTGCACCTTGACTTCTCCTCCCCCACAGCCGCAATAGATTCTCTCGTAAGACCAAGCTCACTCTCAACTTCAGCGAGTGCGTCTCCACATTGATCAAATGACGACTGCTTGTGTTTGATTACCTGCTTCAAATCAACCAGCTGTATTTCCTCCTCTCTCAGAAAATCGGATGGATGCTTTCCAGCTGATTGTAGCTCCAGCTCATCAAACCGCGCAACTGTATCCTGATGCTCCTTGAGCTGATGAGTAAGGAGCAATTTCTCATGAAGAGTCGCTTGTACATCAGAATCAAGCTTTGCCACAGCCGAATGAAAGTCTTGTGCAGCTGCTTGCTGTAGCTGGAACACACGAATCATTTCCTCATTCTCCGCAAATTTACAGAGTGCTTCAGCGTGCCGTTTCTCGTGAATGTCCTCGTACACTCCCTCCAACGCCTTGAGCTCACGCACACTGGCTAGCTTTTGATCACGTTCCTTGAGAACAGTCTGAATGCTATCATGAACTGTGTTCAACTTCTGTTGAACCGTTTTGGCGTCGTTTTCCAAAGAAATCCTTCTTTGTGACTCGTGGATTTGTATCGCCCTCCCAAGTTCACCAAGCCTCTTGCACGTCTGAAGTGATAACAGTTAAGATCGAAGTCACCGAGGTTGCAAACTAGAAGCAGAAGAGATGTGACACACCTTCCATCGTTCATGAGCTTCTTTTGTCTTGGCCGTATCAGCAGCTGTTGCTCTTTCAAGCAAGCAGGTATTTGTGTTTATTTCGTGCAGACTTCTCTCCGTCCTTGACACAACCTCTTCAGCCTTCTCCACCTCGGCTTCCCACCTCGCTGATCCATTACAATGACAAGGTGCAGATTTGGAGAAAATAATGGATCCATGCCATTTCTAAATCAAGACTACGCAACACTGCAGGCATGAATTCAATGAAACGTACCTGCTCCAGACACTCCTGAAATGAGGCTAGACAGCACTGCACCATCGTTTGCATTCGCCAACTCCGAAACCTGGGACTGCTTGAGGCTTGTGCAAGCATCCAACATGATACGGTTCTCACGAAGAAAGTCCTGTTTGGTTAAGATGTGAGTCTGGACTATCAATAAGTGTTCAATCTAGCCTTCCGAACTGGCAACTCTTACCTTGAGTTCACGGAGAGTTTTGAGCTTCCCATTGACTTTTGTCTGTCGAGTTTGGTCTGGCAGAAGCTTTGCGTCGATGCAGATTCTGTCGACTGCACTTCCTCCTTTGGATGTACGTACTACCACCGAAATCTCACATCCTTCCTTCGTATCGGAAGATTGGAGACCGGCCAAAGATTGCACACGCAATGCATGATAGGACTCGCCGAAGGCAAAGTGGATTGCATCTGCACATCATTCAGGTGTCTTGATTTAATAATAGGGACAGGTTGGAGCTATGCAAGTTGACTGGTTTCACGCTCACCCAAAATGTTTGACTTTCCACTTCCATTTGCACCAGCTATAAGGTTGAAGCCAGGAGTGAACCTTATTTCTTGCGGCTCATCCCGAAACGACTTGAATGCTCGGATACTGTTCAATTTAAACTTGGTCAGAGTTACGTCGAACGATAAGCTGGTGAGTCAAATCGTGCGTACCTGACTGATTCTATGAATGGACGCGAGTGCCTGAATGCAGCCATTGACAATTGGCATAAGCCACAGGTGCTTCAACTCAACACTGGATTTCTGGGTCGACTCCCTCTACCGTCAAACCATCATAGTGCTAGGTAATCAGCTGATGCGTGAAGCTGTGCTCGTGGGCGTCGTTTGAGTCCATGGTGTGGCGACCGACTGATGGGCAACCGCATTCCATCACGCTTCAGGGCGTGTAACCACTTCGACGGTTTCGCTTTTCGTTCAACGCACTGCCACAGAAATGTCATGTTACATATGTCGCAAGGATCTCGATAATTGCGAGGGCAGTAACACACTTTCGTCCTGCCGGTTCGGTTTGACGAAAAAACGAACCCGCCAAAAGGGTTGCGCGGGATAGTCTTGCAACTCGTTATAGAATAACACTGATAATGAATCAGGGATTCAATGAAAAAGGCTCCAAATTTACTAAATTGTGCTACCTCTTTTCAACCCCAAATCTGAAGTAGTGTATCAG